GGGTAAGGACCGCGCCGCCCGCGAGCTCTCGGGGAGGGAGATGGCAGCGGGGCTCGCGCGCCGGCCCCGGCTGGAGGGAGCCCTGGCCGCCTGAGGCCCGGGTCCGAGGGGAGGGAACGCGCGCGCCCGGGGCGCCGACCTTGCGCGGCGTGGTCTTGGGGAAGGCTGGGTTGGAGGGAGAGTGTACTTCGGGCGGGGCACGGAGCCGGCCACACGCGGCTCTGCCTCAATATCCCCGAAGCACATCGACACTTCCCTACGCGAGGTGTGAAAGTCGGGTCTGAGCGGTGCGCCGGTCTCTACTGCAATCTCTGCCTCTGTCTCTCTGTCTGTCTCTCGCACTCTCTGCCTCTGTCTCTCTGTCTGTCTCTCTCACTCTCTGCCTCTGTCTCTCTATCTGTCTCTCTCACTCTCTGCCTCTGTCTCTGTCTCTCTGTCTGTCTCATTGTCTCTGTCTCTCATTGTCTCTGTCCCTCATTGTCTCTGTCTCTCTCTGTCTCTCTCTCTCATTGTCTCTGTCTCTCCCTCTCTCCCTCTCCTCCTCCCTCTCGGAATGATTAGCCCTCCGAGACGATTGACAATGGTGCCTTTCGGAGCCGGTTCCTTTTCCAGCACCTGAGAAGGGGAGCCCGCGTAGTCCTTAGCTTGGTTTCCGAACAAGCGGCCTGTGCAATGACGCCGCCCTGTAGAGCTCGGGGAACCCTTCCCGCTCAGTTATTCCCAGGCAAAATCACCTTAAAAACGACGCTCGTGCCCCCCTCCAGACCTCTGCCACGCCTGTTGCCACCCGTCCTTTCACCAAGCCGGGAGCACAGAGACCCCGGACTGAAGCAGCGGGGTCTCGCTCTCTCTCCTGTTGCGTTATAACAGCCGGGGCGCTGGGGTTTGGGTTCCAGCGAGAGGGAAGGGTTGTGACCGAGGCTGCGGCCGCTTGCCGGCCCCCCTGGGCCGGGCCAGAGCTGGGGGTGTCTGAGGCTCCCCAACTCCATGGTCTCCTCGTCTGTTCTCACTC